CCCCCCGGAGGGGAGGGACAGAATTTGAGTCGCTTGCAGGGTCGAGTTCCTTTTCTGTTGTTTTGATGCGTCGTTTTCCTTGCCTATTTTCTTTCACAGAACAACCTCCAAAATCGTTGTACACCCCCTAAATATTTTCGAAAAATTAATTTTCCTCTCAATAGCTCTGGAAATGTCTTGGTTTCAAATGTCAGCCCATATTATTTTTATGAAACTTCAGTTAATTAAGCTTTGTCTCTGAACTTCAAATCTGTTTTCAAATCTTGTTCTCCAATGGAAATGATTATTTATCGTCCTCTTGCAAAGTGTACAATATATTTAAATTTAATTTGTCATTGCATTTATCTGCCTTTTGTTGAATAAGTATTTTTATTAAAAACCAGATCATTGGATAATGCAATTCAAGACTTTTTATTGGCTTAGCTATTATGGTATATCAGCCAATATACCATAATCTACAAATATGGCAAGCGTACGTGTCAGCTTAAAATTAAAAGGGAGCTAAAAATTTAATAAAATTTAATAACTCAATTTAACGTTTTTAATAAAGCAATTATTTCTCTCGCTCTTGTTGGATATGAGATGATTATAGCCAACTCGGCGCTACGCGCCTCGTTGGCCATCTATCATCTCATATCCAACGCGCGCTCGTGGAATAATTGTTAATTATTATCATTATTATCATTTATTTTTTATTTGTCTTTGTAATTAATATTGTAGTTCTATGCCAACTAAGTTCCCATGCAAAGTTGTTACGTGCAAGAATGACCAACAAATGTCCGCTAACAAAGCTTATATGAAAATAGATTCCCGAGTACGATATATGGCACGCAACAAAAATGTAACAACAAGCAGTTACCCATTTTAACTATTATAAGTTTTACATTGTCTAATTTATGTAGGTTAAAGATTAAGTTAAGCAGTTCGTAAAGCAGGCTTACAATCCTTCATGTCGTATAAGTATTCATCGTCTTGATCAACTTTGAATTCCAACTTCCACCGACTGAAGACCACAACGCTTGGCTTTCTTGATTCATTGCATTCTTTCATGTACACAAACTCTTCCGGAGCACTTCATAGTGAACTCTATATTCTTTATCTTCTTCCTTTCTCGGCTATCATCTTTTTCTTGTCTTTCTTCTCTCCGGATATCGCAAGGTCAAAAGGTCATAGTCTTATCACATCATAGCTTCCACAAGTTCAGTCAGCCGGCCACGAGGGTAAGCCCTCGGGCAAAATTTCTTGTACTTCTCACAAGCCAGCTTTTCTACATTTTCTTTAAGTATCTAGAATGTTCAATTACTATTTATAGCGTATTACAAGTTGTACTATTTTTGGAAACTGCTGAGTCACATAAAAGAAGTTTCTGGAATATTATAGACTAAAGACAATTCTAGAAAAGTCTGGGATTGCGTGGCAGATTTAGTGAAAATAATTCGATCCTCGTGTTGGGGGTTTTACAGCTCGCTCGGCCGAATTAACGAGAGGTGCCACGACTCTGTACTTTTCTTCTTTTATTCTCTTCTGGAGAGCTGCTACAGCGACGCACTATGCATCTAATGCTCTGTGCATCTGATAATCATCGTCTAGGGTGAGGCTAAACGCTGTAAGCAGGAAAGCCGTAGACATGTTTGGGTTAGCTGACCGTGAGAGTTTCTGCAGTGTATTCGTTGTTTTGCAAAGGGGGAAAATTGGGTGGCTCGCTCCTAAGGACTTGGCGAGCACCAAGGAACCAATTAAACGCCAATGAACGAGCTGCGCACGAGAATTGCGCGCACAAACAGGATCTTCAATGTGGGTAAAACTCAAGGTCAGTTTTACCAACCCAAACATGACCACCTATGAAACTAATTATTCCCAACCATAACAAGCGATTAAAATGTCTAGCACGGTAAGACGGAAATTCGCGAATTGAGCCAAGTTCAAGCACTCACTAAAAAATAAAAGATCAAAACTATAGATCTACCAAAATAACACGTAGGCGCAAAAGGCAAGGTTCAACAAAACAAAAAGCTTAACTAAAAAGGGTCTCAAAATAACAATTTCCAATTTTACCTCACAACACTCGTAACAAGGGCTCAAAATGAAGAATAAGTAAACTTCCTGAGGCGCGGTTGTTTTTATTTTTTCGGTTGTTTTTATTTTTTGGCTTGTTTGATTATGAGAATGGCTGCGACTTTTCTTTGCCAACCAAATGATAGAGTCATGCAAAATCAACGCTGTCCAGGATTATTCTCGATGCACAATTGAAAATTGCTCTTCCAAGTTTTTTTTTCAGCAACCCCTTTGAAAATTGGAAAGACACAACATACCTTTCAAAGCTACCTCACTGCTCATCATCGCATCATCTGTTGAATGAATGAAGGTTTATTCTAAATTGGCTCGACCTAAACTGAGTTGAAAAAGATATGAAACCCAAGCTAAGGCCGCGAAAGGAATTTTTATGCTAGTCAGTAAACCATAATATGAATTACTAGCGTCTAATTTCTCCTAACATTACCCCCCTTCCACCCCCTAATCAAACACCGAGGTCATGAGTTGAGAATGAGGAAAGTGATCACCAACTGAAGAACTTCTTGATGTCCTTGATTGCTAAACAACTTCTCCTTGCCAGGGCTATGGCAAAGTTATGGAGAACGGTAAGGCTAATTTTCAGCCATCTTGACCAGACAAGCTTCAGTGGTCAAAAGGCTTATTAGAAATGTCCAAACACTACGAACTTTGTAAGTCCGCCCCTCACAATGTTTTTCTTGCGCGGGATAAAAGTGGGCAATCCCTGGCGGGCAAGATCGACTCGGGTAGCCAATAATTTTTATTTTCTATTTTAATTTTTTTTTTATTTCTTATTATTTTTATTTAATTTCTTCTTCAAAAGCTATTCTTTTTTTGCAGTT